CTTTATATGTGATGTTTTGATCCAGCAGATGTCGCCCTTGAGCACCAGCATGAAACCAAAACAACTCGCTGCATTGTTGTGTTAGCATGCTAATGCTAGCGATCTTTATTATGCTGGTATCTTCACACTGCATGTAAATTGACCTGAAATGAGCGTGATCTAGAAACACAGTTAAGCAGTGAGTACAGTATGTTATTCTTCTTTTCTCTAGTCCCTCAATTAAACAACTTTTATACGTGAGGGGAGGAGGCAGCCGGCCGTCCCGGCGATGTAAACAAAGTGAAGATAGGACTCTGAAAACTCTGAAAACATCACAGACAGTGGGACTCGGGTGTTACACCCATTGTAGACAGTCATGACTCACAGAGTTATTTTCAGAGGAGATACTTGATTTCTACATTTAAGTGTGAAAGATCACATAGAAAGACTTTAACCATGGGGGCAGGCATGGACATTTTTGGGCCGACCCAGGGCTGTCATAATTTAATTAAAAGAGTAGCCTATTTTATTTTTTATTGACCGCGACAGTAGGCTATTTGAGACATGAAACGCGGCTCATTGGTTGATTTTCTTGAAGGACATTGGGCTAGTCCAGTGAAATCTCTCAGCCCTCTCTTGGCAAGTTCGACTGCAGCAGCGGGTGCAGGGCCGTCGACATGTGCAGAAGCAGTCCCATCGAGTGCACAGGTGGAGGAGGAGGAGGAGGAGGAGGAGCAGAGAGATGTGACCCAAAAGCAGGGACAGATTGAGGAGGAGGAGGTCAGAATAGCTACTGTCAGCCCGGTAAGAAGTAGTCGAAATGTTAGCAGAATGAAAAAGGACGTCTCATGTAGGGAGGGCGGAGGGCTGTGTGTGTGTGTGTGTGTGTGTGTGTGTGTGTGTGTGTGTGTGTGTGTGTGTGTGTGTGTGTGTGTGTGTGTGTGTGTGTGTATGTGTGTGTGTGTGTGTGTGTGTGTGAGAAAACTTAAATAAGTTATCCACAACAAATCAATGAGTGGTCGGCTTCAGAACGCACTCAACTTTCTGATATCTGAAGTCAGTCATGATTGGTCGAAATTGTTGTCAATCTTGATGCAGTACAACAAGCAAACCTATCAAATGTCTTTGCGCAGACAGACAGGTATACGTAGGCTACACACGCCCGCAGTCAGAAAGACACTGGAATGACACAGAAATGATGATAGCCCATGGAATTAACAATGAAAATGTTTTGGGATGTGTGTACATCTTCACTAAATAGTATCTGGGGAAATTGTAGTTTAAAAGTGTGCAAATGCTCAACATAGGAATACAGGACCCATTTTATTCAGTCAGACTTAAAACATGCATAATAATAGTAGCCTATAGAGTTTTGTGCACAACCTCATCCTTGCTGGTTTGGAGGAGCTCTTTATTTCTTTATTTCACATGGATCTATGGTCTTACTATAGGCCTAATTGTCTTATTTATAAACAGTATATTTCATTAAACACTGAAAATACATCTCTAGCAGTGTTTCTTTGACCACTTTCACGTCAAGATGGGAATTGTGGCACTGTGGCCATCTCTCCCAAGATGAAAGTCTCTGTGAGTAGTGAAAGAGCATATACATTTTTTGACATGGTTACTCTCGTCCATGTAGGCTACTGCGCTTTATTTGAATTTGTTTAAACAACACAATGTGCGCATATATCCTGGTATGTCGTGTGCCTCCGCATATCATATAAATAATCATGGTGGGCCGCCAGGGCCATTTTCTGGTCCCAGTCCAGCCCTGCATGGGGATATCTCATGTTATCAGGTCTGCCCCCAAAACAAAACAAGCATGAACTTTGGAACAACCTTTTTAAAACGCCATCAGAGGAATCCCAACACTGATTGGTCGCTGCTAAAGAAACTGGTCTTCCTGCCTCCTGAATCGATTTGCATATAATCTGTCATGATTCACATCATGGCAGCCCTTCCTTCCTCTTTTGTTGTGTTGTTTGTCATTCCCTGTCTGTTTAATCCTCATGTGTCTCTCTCCTGTCTGTGTGAGTTTGGTGGGCGGGCCAGGTGCAGCTAGTTGGTCATCAGGATCTCGACTACAAAGACTTCCTTCTGCTTCACCTCAGCGCCAGATTGTTTCACCAGCTCACGTGGTTTGTACTCTCTTGGCTTCTCTGTTCTCGTTGTGATAGCTTGTGTAGCTAACCCTGTTTTTCTTCTCTGCCTTGCGCCAGATGGCTGTTCGTGTTTTTTGCTTCACCTCACCTGTGCTTTTGTGGACACCACACTGGGGATCACGGACACTGCCACTGGGAACCCTGCACTACCCCTCCCCCTTCCACTTTTTGGAATAAACCTTTTTGTTATCAACTTGATCCTGCCTATCTGAGTTGTGCTTTTGGGTCCAAAATTTGTACTAGCCGTAACATAATCTGTATTTTACTGTAGCTAATGCTAACACTTGACCGATGCTAACTGACCTGTAGACTCTCAGCATCACGGTGTCCTGGTTCAGCAGAGGACTCCCACTGTGGACGTATTTCACCTCGTCCTCCAGGAAGCTGCAGTCGAACACCTGAAAACAACAAAGTTTCATTTGACTGAGAATCAAACGATCAGTGAGAGAGAAACAGCCGAGAGCATACCTACAGGTGTGTGTGTGTGTGTGTGTGTGTGTGTGTGTGTGTACTCACCTGTGGAGTCAGCCTCCCCACTCTCTGTGTGACGGGCTCGTTCATCACCACCTCCACTTTACAGTCTGCGTCCAGACCCACGCTGATCTTCAGCTCCTTCTCTGTGACGAACACCGAGCCGCCCCGGGAGACCGCCACGCCCGAGTTCAGCACCACCAGACTCGCTCTGCAGACGGACGTCACCACCGCAAGCAGCAACAACATGCTGACGGCAGCCATCTTGGATCGGCCGCGGGGTTTCACAGATTCAGGTGGAGAGAAGAGATGTGAAGGATGACGGCGTGTTTTCCATTCAGACCGCGTCGACCCACATCCTCTTTTTCAGTCTGATGCTCAAACAACCTGCAGACGAGAGAAGAGATTAAATTCATTCAGTAGAAGAAGAAAATCACATCGAAGAGGAGGAAAATGTTTCATACCCAGAATGCAACACTTCTCAGTATAATATTGAAAACACTGAATACACATCTTACTGATTGGATCTTTAAAGGTACTCTCTGTCGTCTGCTTTAAACCCTAAATAACAAAGTATTAAGGTTAAAAGATTTTTGAAAGTTAAGGTTCAATTTTTTTCTTCTTATTATTAGTATTATTTTTTATTTTCTAAATCTTAATTTAATTATCTTTTTTTAAAAAAAAAGAAAAAGGTTCAAATTTTACGCTGCAGATTTAACGCATCGAAACACAACGCAGCTGTAAACGTGACACTTGACCTGCACTCCTCCCCTGACCCCTGACCCCTGAATCTGATGACAGTAAAATACCTACTTCCTAAAATAGCTCCAGACTTTCCTCAGGATCACCATCTGTCTAAAAAATGATCAGCTGTCCAGCTCAGATCCCTACAACTGAACTTTTCCAACACCCAAACTCCCCTAAATCCTCCAAAAACCCTTTTAAAAAAAAAAAACTTCCCAGCATGCATCTGGCCGGCCCGGCTTCTGCCCCCCACTGCTCCACACTCCACAGCCGGAAATCGCTTTCACCCTCCATTTCACTTCAAGCCAAAGCCCACTGCAGGAAACAAGGGGTTAATCTGCGTGACCCCGCAGAGGTGCTGGAAATGACATGGGACGGGTGGAGAGGGGGGGAGGCCGGAGGGGGAGGGGGAGGGGGAGGTGTTTTCAGGATCAAAGCAGGGCACCAAAAGGAGCCGGCGTGTCACTTCCCATCGAGCCAGACGAGCGTCGGTTCGTTAGTTTTGAGGTCTGAGCTGGAGGAGTGTGACGCTCTGCTGCAGCGCTGTGGAAACCTCACATGGTGCAGAGTTAGAAAAACACACAGAGCTCTCTGAAAACTGTGCCAACATGCTGCTCAGGATTCAGATCCACTTTGTTTTTAGGTTTTTAAAAACAGGTTCTGTACCTGCATGCAGGTGTGCTCTGCATTTCTGTGATCCTGTTTTCATTTATCAACATGAAGCAATTCGGTCATATTTCTACTTCAGCTGTTTTCACAAAGAATCCTGAAATCTTCTAAAATCGTTGTGTTTGTTTGTTTTATTTGGGTCCCCATTAGCGTTAGCATAGCGAGAAGCTAATCTTCCTGGAGTCCGCAATTTATATTGTGACAATACATTTTACAAATTCATATTATATATTATTCTTTTCACACTACACAAACATTCCACAACAAGAACTAAAAATAATAGACATGTAATTTTGGCCGACGCCATGATGAGAATTTATGCCTGTACATCAACCCTAGGTGCAGTCCGACATCTTTACAGGATCACCAAAAGAGCAGAGAAGAAGACACTGGCAGAAAACATAACGAAGCAGTTTTGAGACGTGTGTGTTGGAGTTTGCACCACAGTGTCAGGATGTAAACGTCATCAGCCTCTTCCACTGGGTCACATGTTCCTGAATATTACCTGCTGCATTACACTACGCTCTGCCAATGAAAGGCGTCTGATCCAACCTTCACAACAGGGTCCTAAGTCTCTGACTAGACTCTTCTCCTCTGTCGCCCCCCGGTGGTGGAATGAACTTCAAAACTCCATGTGATCTGCAGAGTCCCTCTGCACCTTTAAGAAAAAGCTAAAGACCCAGCTCTTTCATGAATACCTACTAACTTAATGATGATGGTCTCCATATTATTGATGATGATGATGGTAATGATGGTTTTTGTTTGATAACGACGACTTATAAGATGGTTTCTACACTGATTAGAGCTCTCAAGAACTGAACCAATCACACGTCACCGATAACGTAGTTTATACTGTGAGTTTACTTACCGCTGAATGAGACATGAGACGATGTAGTTTCTACACAATGCAAGAGATGAGCTGAGATCCACTTCTGGAGAGACGGCGCTTGTGCATGTAAGTGAGGGGGCGTGGCTTCAGAGGGAGCACAGAGGGGAGGGGCATGGCTTCAGAGGGAGCACAGAGGGGAGGGGGCGTGGCTTCAGAGGAAGCACAGAGGGGAGGGGGTGCAGACGTAGCACTGAGGGAATGCTGTTTTCAAAATCATGCTAGTTTTTCCAAAATGACCAACCCTGCCTTTAAAATGAAATAAATGTAGTTTAGCTTAAGTTTCTCATTACAAACAGCAGGTCTTCATTTGTCTCAACACAACGAGAGTGGGAAAAAGCTTTTGCAGAATAAAGTTTCCATTCAGATAACAGAGAAATTCCCTCGTTCCTCTTATTTCACTTCCCTGCCAGCTCTCCTTGAGGAATGCATCCGTCTCTTCTTACCTGCTCAGCCTGTGGATGGATTTGTTGTCCTGTTCCTGCAGAAATGATCCGAACAGCAGGCTGAAGCAGGACGTCTGTTAAATGATCCAGCAGCTGCTGCAGAGATTTCTGGAAGTGACTCAGAGCTGCTGAATGAGAAAACATCGACTGCAGCTCTGAGGAGAACCGCCTCGGTTTCTGAATGAAACATGATAATTAAGTTCAGACCCGACCACAGTCAGACCCACGCAGGTCTATGAACCCTGATGCTGACAGTCTGCTGCTAACTGTGCCCACATTTCAGACCTTTCAGTTGGATTCTTTTTATTCCAAACATACCAGGTATTCAGTGTTTCCTGCAGTGAAGCTAATTAAAATAATAAAGATACGGGAAAAATAACCTCCACTACAACTCAAAATAACATTTCAACTACTAACAGAACCAAAACTACCACTGGAGGAGAGCTCAGCTGTGCGGTTCCTGAAGTAAAAACCACGTTCACGTAGTGGATTTGATTATTAGCTGTGATGTGATAACCATCTTCAGCGAGACTGACCACGAGCTACGAGCACGAGTGTGAAACGATTGGTTAATGCTCCTGAAGGAGACACAAGTTAATCTGCTATCAACCTCTTAAAGGTGACACATCCTCCTCCTCCTCTTCAGTTTAAATAAGTCTCAGAGCTCCTCAAAACATGTGTGTGAAGTTTCTTGTTCTAAATCCACTCTGATCCTGTATTTGATCATGTCTATAAACCTCGCTATTTCAGCCCTGCTCAGAACAGGCTGTTTCTGTGTCTGTAGCTTTAAATATTTAAATGAGCTGTGTCTGACCACGCCCCCTCTCTGGAAGGGCTCGGGTGTACTCTGTCTTTCTCGCTCCATGTCCTATTGTTTACGGTGAGAAGGCAGACTCAGAGGGCAGAACAAACACCTAGCTGTGGGAGTGTCACCCACCTGGGGGAGGGGCTACTGCCCTTTGTGATGTCATGAAGGGAAAATCTCCAAACGGCCTGTTTGAGCACACATTTTCTGAAAAGTGGAGCAGGCAGAAGACAGAGAGGATGTACTTTTCTCATCATTGGGGGGTTTGTAGACGGACTAGTGTCCACCAAGCATTTTGTTTCTGAGTGCCAGCGTGACTCCACCCGTCTGTGCGGCGCCTCGATCTGTCAGTACAGATGCTGCAGGTAGCAGCTGCAGCTCCGCAGGGTCTCAAACGACAGCAGAGAAAGTTTCCACTGAACTCCTGCCGCTCTAATCACATCCTCAGTGGTAAAGCTGAAGGGACACTTCCATGAGAGTGTGTGTTTACAAGTGTGTGAGTGTTTCACATCAGAGAGAGAGAAGAGCGAGAGAATTAAAGGAAATCTCCTAAAATGTTTCTTTTCAGCGGCGAGGCCTGTCAGGAGGCGTGTGTCGGCGAGCTACAGCCGATTGTGTGTGTGTGTGTGAAGCGGTGGTTGGCACCTACCTCTGGTTTTTTGGAGCGTCTCTGTTCGTCTTCTTCACCTTCTGCACACGCTCAGAGGAAGAGGAATGTTGTCAAACACACACACACACACATTTCACACTCACCGTTTGCCTCCACCACCTCCCCCCTTATTCCACAGCTCGCCGTCACCCTGAGACGTCTGGCATCCACCGACACAGAGAGAGAGGAGAGAGAGACAGGGTAAACTGTGAGATAGGAGGAACAAAGGGCGAGAGAGTTTCCTCTGAGTCTGTCCTGAAGCCAAAACCAGAGAAAAAGAGAGGGAGAGAGAGAGAGAGAGAGTGGGGAGAGAGAGAGAGAGAGAGAGTGGGGAGAGAGAGAGAGAGAGAGAGGGAAAGGGAGAGAGAGAGAGAGAGAGAGAGAGAGAGAGAGAGAGAGAGAGAGAGAGAGTGGGGAGAGAGAGAGAGAGAGAGAGAGAGAGAGAGAGAGAGGGAAGAGAGAGAGAGAGAGAGAGAGAGAGAGAGAGAGAGAGAGAGAGAGAGAGTGGGGAGAGAGAGAGAGAGAGAGAGAGAGAGAGAGAGAGAGAGTTTCCTCTGAGTCTGTCTTGAAGCCAAACCAGAGAGAGGGCGAGAGAGGGCGAGAGAGCAGACAGGAAATGTGCTGAGAGGTTTCCAGGACTTTTATTTTTACAGCCCCCCCCGCCTCTCTGCATCTTACTTTGTCTTCATGTGTCTCTTTGTGTGTGTGTGTGTGTGTGTGTGTGTGTGTGTGTGTGTGTGTGTGTGTGTGTGTGTGTGTGTGTGTGTGTGTGTGTGTGTGTGTGTGTGTGTGTGTGTGTGTGTGTGTGTTTGTCTCTGTGTGTGTGATGCAGAAAAACAAATTTAGCTCTTTTTCTTCCTCGTCTGAACGAGCATCACCTGAAGGTTTGGACTTCCTGTCACCTGACATGTGACCAGCTGTTCTTACAGACTGCCTGTGGACATAAAGACTCCTGATCGTATATTCCATCACTTTATCAACATGACATCAAACCATCATCAGAGAGACAAAGCAACATGTTGTTTGCACGTTGCTATTGGCTTTTACCCTGGATTTACCCTGGATCCTGACAGATAGATAAGCCCCGCCTCCTCCATGTGAACGGATAGGACATGGGTCAAACTATGAAATAAAAAATTCACGTCAGATTCATTTTTCTTGAACCCAGAATCTTCTGAGTTATCATCATGATGATATCGTCTCCAGTTAGCTTTTTTCTGAGAAGTTTACTTTCATTTACTGATTTGATTCTCTAAATCGATATCGACATGATTGACAGCTCTGCTGACAAATAAAACCCTGAGTAGAGTAAACTCGCTTTTAACTACATGAACATAAACACGTCATCAGCCTTATATATCCTGTGGTGGTTTGGAGCGTTGGTTGTGCTCGTCCTCAGAAGTTAATGCTACGCGTCTGAGAGATGCAATATGCATTTAACCACTAGGGGCAGTGTTGAGTTGAAGGTGATGAGACGCTACAACAATGGAGGAAAGTTTAGAAGAAAAGTTAACAGATCAAGGGTGCGTTCAAATTGTCCCTCCTATCTCCTTTCACTATCCACTTCACCTTTAACCCCGGGGAAAACGTCATGAGGTTAAGGAAAGATGTTAGGAGAATTCATAAAGGACTTAGGGAAAGGCGATCTCGTTGCGCTGACAATCCGACCACATTTCCACTAGGCCACGTCATTAAATGTGACGGGCCGGCGGAGGTTAATGACGTGGGTCTGCCGTGTTGAAACTACAATGTTCAGAAAATGGACTACAAAAAGATCATCTAAAAAACTCTTTCTGTGCTTCTTACCGGTGAAATAATCCTGATCACCACGAGGTTGGGATTGAAATAAAAGAAATATAGACTACCAGACTACAAGTAAGAAAAGTGAAACCATCAGCTTCCTGTCCAATCAGAAATCAACATCAACATCAATATGATTGGATGAAATGAATTGTTACATTAATGTAAGATATAACCTACACATAATGTTTTAAACATACAAATGTACAGCAGCACAAAACAAGAGAATGAAATATGTTGAATCAAACATCCTCTGATAAAAATGTCTCTTTTATCTCTTTATGATCATCGTTAATGTTCCTGAACGGTCGGCTGTGCGACTCGCTTTAAATGTCGCGGCCGCAAGGAATTGTGGGACGTCATATCTCATCTCCTTTGGTAAAGGATGGACCAGTGTATCCTAAAGGTGGTTATAAAGGAAGCATTGACCCACCTTTCCTTAACTTTTTGAGAATTCAAACGGCTCTTATCATGGCCGCCACTTAAATACTCTCGGGGTTAAAGGTGAAGTGGATAGTGAAAGGAGACAGGAGGGACAATTTGAACGCACCCCAAGTCCTGAACTACCTGCTCTATGATGATGTGTCATCACCATGGCAACAAACAGAACAGCTGGTGACAGGTCATATCTACTTCTGTGTTTTAACACGGTCTGATTTATGTGGAGCGCCCTCTAGAGGAATCCTCCAGTAACACGCCCTGCAGGCTGCTGATTGGTTCTCAGAGAGAGAGAGCGATCAGCTGGAGTTAAAGTACGAGATGTTCCTCTGAGATGTTGAGGAGTAAAAGTTGTTTAAAGACGAGGAGACGGTCTGTTGTTCTCGTTAAGTCCTCGCTTCAAACACACACACGAGGCTCAAACCCCCGCTGAGCTGCTGCACACAGAACGGAGCTGACCTCTACACACACACACACACACACACACACACACACACACACACACACACACACACACACACACACACACACACACACACACACACACACACACACACACAACAGAGACAAACAAAAACACACAAACAAAACACACACACACACACAATGAGAAGAAGTAGAAGTAGTAGTATAAAATACTTGCGGGTGCACATGATCAATAAACTGGACTGGAAGCAGCACACAGAGGCTGTCGACAAGAAGGGTCAGAGCAGACTCTCCTTCTTGAGGAAGCTTAGGTCTTTTAATGTGTGGAGCAAAATGTTAGCCATGTTTTATCAGACTGTTGTGGCAAGTGCCATTTTCTTTGCAGCCGTCTGTTGGGGCAGCAGCATCAGGGCGTGTGACTCTAAAAAGCTTAACAAGGAGGGCTGGCTCTGTGCTGGGGACTGCTGTGGACTGCTGTGGAGCCCCTGGAGGTGGTGATGGGGAGAAGGATGATACAGAAACTGTTGAACATTATGGACAATAACATGCATCCCTTACACTATCTCGTGTGTGAATAAAAGAGTGTTTTTAGTGGGAGTCTACGGCAGCTAAGCTGTAAAAAGGACAGATTTAAAAATACTTTTTTACCTACTGAAATTGCACTTCATAACGACTCCCCTTTAAGTAAGGACAGAGGACATTTAAACTTTTAAACTTTAGCCTGAGCTGCATATATCAAACTGTATTTTGCAGACTTGACTGCTTTTTTATAATAATTCTTTATTTCTCTATCAAACTATGCACTGGCAGAGCTAGTATTTTGTACTGTTATCTATGAGTAACAGCTACTTATGCACATGGACCATCCATACCACTTCTTTACCTGGCTATGTATTGTGGGCTCATGTTTTTTTGAATGTGTGTGATATGTATGTATATATATGTGTTGTGTTGTGTTGTTTGTTTGTATATATGTGTTGTGTGTTTGTATGTATATATGTGTTGTGTGTTTGTATGTATATATGTGTTGTGTGTTTGTTTGTATATGTGTTGTGTGTTTGTATATATGTGTTGTGTTGTGTGTTTGTATGTATATATGTGTTGTGTGTTTGTATATATGTGTTGTGTGTATGTATATATGTGTTGTGTTGTGTTGTTTGTATGTATATATGTGTTGTGTTGTGTTGTTTGTTTGTTTGTATGTATATATGTGTTGTGTTGTGTTGTTTGTTTGTTTGTATGTATATATGTGTTGTGTTGTGTTATTTGTTTGTATATATGTGTTGTGTTGTGTTGTGTGTTTGTGTGTATATATGTGTTGTGTTGTGTGTTTGTTTGTATATACGTGTTGTGTGTTTGTATGTATATATGTGTTGTGTTTGTTTGTTGTATATATGTGTTGTGTTGTGTGTTTGTGTGTATATATGTGTTGTGTTATGTGTTTGTTTGTATATATGTGTTGTGTGTTTGTATGTATATATGTGTTGTGTGTTTGTTTGTATATGTGTGTTGTGTTGTGTGTTTGTTTGTATATATGTGTTGTGTTGTGTGTTTGTTTGTATATATGTGTTGTGTTGTGTGTTGTATGTATATATGTGTTGTGTTGTGTGTTTGTGTGTATATATGTGTTGTGTGTTTGTTTGTATATATGTGTTGTGTGTTTCTTTGTATATATGTGTTGTGTTGTGTGATTGTATGTATATATGTGTTGTGTGTTTGTTTGTATATATGTGTTGTGTTGTGTGTTTGTTTGTATATATGTGTTGTGTTGTGTGTTTGTATGTATATATGTGTTGTGTTTGTTTGTTTGTTTGTATATATGTGTTGTGTTGTGTGTTTGTTTGTATATATGTGTTGTGTTGTGTGTTTGTTTGTATATATGTGTTGTGTTGTGTGTTTGTATGTATATATGTGTTGTGTTGTGTGTTTGTATGTATATATGTGTTGTGTTGTGTGTTTGTTTGTATATATGTGTTGTGTTGTGTGTTTGTATGTTATATGTGTTGTGTTGTGTGTTTGTTTGTATATATGTGTTGTGTTGTTTGTTTGTTTGTATATATGTGTTGTGTTGTGTGTTTGTATGTATATATGTGTTGTGTTGTGTGTTTGTTTGTATATATGTGTTGTGTTGTTTGTTTGTTTGTATATATGTGTTGTGTTGTGTGTTTGTATGTATATATGTGTTGTGTTGTGTGTTTCTGTGTATATATGTGTTGTGTTGTGTGTTTGTTTGTATATATGTGTTGTGTTGTGTGTTTGTATATATATATGTGTTGTGTGTTTGTTTGTATATATGTGTTGTGTGTTTGTATGTATATATGTGTTGTGTGTTTGTTTGTATATATGTGTTGTGTGTTTGTTTGTATATATGTGTTGTGTGTTTGTTTGTATATATGTGTTGTGTGTTTGTATGTATATATGTGTTGTGTTGTGTGTTTGTTTGTATATATGTGTTGTGTTGTTTGTATGTATATATGTGTTGTGTGTTTGTATGTATATATGTGTTGTGTGTTTGTATGTATATATGTGTTGTGTGTTTGTATATATGTGTTGTGTTGTGTGTTTGTATGTATATATGTGTTG